AGTCAGATGCCTTATCCATTGGGCCACAGGGCCGCTGAGATATACATTGGAACTTGCTTATCTAGGATCTGGTATCATTATGAATATTAAGATTACATTGCATATCTAAGAGAATGTAATATTTCATATTTTTGATGAACCAAAATTAATATTCCGAGAACTTCACGAGGCAAATAACCTATGCTCGCTACAAGTTTGTAAACAACAACAATCAACAAACAAACAAATTAGACAAAAATAATGTTACCGTGCAGACATAAGGTTGCGATTTAATGATGTTTAAATAAAAAAAAAAAAGTGAAAAATTCGACCTTGCCAGGACTCGAACCTGGAATCCCCTGATTCGTAGTCAGATGCCTTATCCATTGGGCCACAAGGCCGCTGCGATAAGGATGTACAATAATGTATCATGGAGTCAATTTTAACAGTGGTCATATGAAATCGAACATTTTGTTTATACTTTTATGTCTACAAATGATATTGCTTATACTTTTTATAATTTTCATCTTATTGCATTAGAAAACGAAGAGGTATTTAGTGCTAATGAAATAAATAAGTGGCACATAATTATGTTATTAATTAACTGTTATTGTCATGCTACTAAAATTTAAAATTTTTGAACATAAATGGCAAACTTTTTACTCTCGTCTATTATTATTGTTTGACATAAATAATCGTCATGCAAAAATCCGAAAAAAAAACTATATCATCAACTAAATAACGATGGCATGCTCTTCGCGTTTTGCATAGTTCATGAATGATTCGTTTAGATACTTCAAAATGTCATTAGTATATTAATATTCTCTTTATACGGAATACTCAAATAGTGATATTGTAGGGGAACATTGTATTTTGTGTAGGCTAAGAAATACAATTTCTTTACAACATGTACAACATGATGATACCTAATCATCTAAAATGAATTAATGATTAACCGCATTAATTGTAATTATAGTATTACTTTGCTACCATCTGTCGGTTATAAACAGTTAGATGTCGTTTAAGAGATATGAATAATGCCCAATGACTCGTGTAATGCTACAAGGACATTCTTATTACTATTTATAGCTCATCAAAGTTCGTATTATTCATGGTAATACACCAGCGTAAATATACGACGACGTAAAGATTTCCTTGTGACATTAAAAATCAAAATTTGAAATCAAATTTCATACACAGTTTGATATATCTGACAATAAATCATATTGATTATAATTGTGAATGCGTGAAAAATGCTTTGTTGTCACTTCGTGGTAATAAGAATTGCAGAAAGGGAGAAAGATAATTGTAACAATCAGACAAACTAATTCAATGCACTAACAACAAAAATATTCGACCCTGCCAGGACTCGAACCTGGAATCCCCTGATTCGTAGTCAGATGCCTTATCCATTGGGCCACAGGGCCGCTGTGAGAGCAGTTGATGAGTTGAGAATCCGATTCTCGTCATCTCGTTATCTTGTCTGCATGCTACTCGAGTCAAAACATCCACGTTGCACTTGACTCAGTGCAACCAGGAAGCTGTAATGAATGGAGATCCCGTCCAAGAGGCCCCTTTGAAGTCATCCGTGGCACCGCGCGTCTTTTGTTTCCCCTACCGTAATCCCCTTAATCCCCCTCCGAAACCGTACAGCTCCCTAGTAGCACTAAGTCCTCCCTTTCCACACACAGCCCAGCCCAGCGAGCACGGCGGCTTTTGCTTTGCCGGCCCGTACTTTGGGTGAATAGTGGTGCTAACTTGACAACTTCTAGCCCTAAATCAATAAATGCGCAAACATATAACACAATTTCATTTAGTTCTTTAGGAAGATAAACCTTTGGACTACCTTCCTAGCTATGTACAAATTTCGGAAATTTTCGGAAAATGTCAATAATTAGATGAGAAAAGCATGATGATGAAAATCTTTCATTCGTTCTAACTCATGATTTCCTTGGTCGATTTCGCTGGTTAAAATGGCCATGTCTTCAGTAGAGCTATCCGAGAACGGAAAACTCATTTGATGACTAATAGAAAGTTGCATTGGTCATATGTTGTGAATTCTGCATTTTATATGTTATAGCTAAATACATCTTCCCTGAACATGACTTAATTTGTCGGTGCCACGCATGGCTTCAAAGCCCGATGCTTGCATATTTTTGCAAAAGAGTGAATAGAGAACTTAGGGAAGCAGATGGCGTTGCGTAACATTTCGTACTATTTGGAATGCCAGAGAGGGACTGTGCATTGATATGGACAGCTGTTGATGGAAATGATGGCTGGAGAGGGTTACATTTCTTTTTGTTAAGCCAGGTTAATCTTGAATAATTTTCCCTCGGTAAATTCTTTCGAGACGGTATCTCCATTCATTACAGCTTCCTGGTGCAACATTTCAAAGCGACTTTTCGACCGGCGCGATTTTCAAATTTTCGGGAGCAAAATTAAAAAAAAAAAAATTGGGCCCCCTCCCCTGAGAAATCCTGGATCCGCGCCTGGGTGAAACACTCCCATGATATCGTATTTAAAAAGCCGGAAGTTCATTAATTTTTAAAACACTAGGAAGATACCCCCTTTAATTTTTCATTTAGTACTTATTTTACTTAGTTCTTTGTGGAATAGAAGAAACAAAATTACGGTTATTCTGAAAAAAAGGACACACCCACAAATAATAGAAGAAAAACTAACAAAAACAAAACGAGACAAAGTACAAAAGTAATCATTGATATTTCTATAAGTGTGACTCCAATAAAATGTCATTCTCTCTATTTTCAGTCTGATCTGTCGCGAAATAAATTAAAATTGATATTAATTGTGAATGTGAAGAAAAAAATCTTTGTTCCCATTTAGTGGTAATAAGAATTGCAGAAAAGGAGAAAGTCAATTGTAACAATCAGACGAACTGATGTAATACACTAACAACAAAAATATTCGACCCTGCCAGGACTCGAACCTGGAATCCCCTGATTCGTAGTCAGATGCCTTATCCATTGGGCCACAGGGCCGCTGTGAGAATAGATAAAGGAGTGAGCAACCGATTCTCGTCGTCGTTATCTTGTCTGCAGATGATACTCGAGTCAAAACATCCACGTTACACTTTCAAGGTTGCTTTTCTTTATGTTTGTTGGGGAGGTGGAGTCTTCGGATTTAAAATTGATTTTAGGATCGCAATCAAGTTTAGCATACTTGGAGGCTGTTTCATCATGATCAAATCGAGTTTATGATTAATTCAAAGTTTTGATGAAACACCCCATGATATTGAACTTAATCAGAGGGAAATTCATTATGACGACACAATGAAGCCACCTTTTAACTTTTCATTTAGTAGCTATGTTTCATTTTCTAAACAAGTTCTTTTTGGATTAAAACAAAAAAAAACTGCTATTCTGTCAAAGAGGAAACACCATAAAAAATAGAAAAAAACAAAACAAAACAAAGTACCAATCTAACTGTTGATATTTCTATAAGTGTGACTCTTATAAAACTCCATCTCTCCAATGTCAGTCTGATCAGTCTGAAAATAAATCACATTGATTATAATTGTGAATGCGATTAAAAAAAAACACTTTGTGAATACATGACAGTACGAATCACAGAAAAGAAGAAATTAAATTGTAACAATCAGACAAACTGATTTAATACACTCACAAAAACAAAAATATTCGACCCTGCCAGGACTCGAACCTGGAATCCCCTGATTCGTAGTCAGATGCCTTATCCATTGGGCCACAGGGCCGCTGTGATAGCAGATGAAGAATTGAGAATCCGATTCTCGTCATCGTTATCTTGTCTGCATGATACTCGAGTCAAAACATCCACGTTGCACTTGTGCAACATTTCAAAGTGGCTTTACTCTTTGTTTATTCGTTGGGGAGACTTCGGTCTGATTTTGTATTTAGAAATTGGGAAAAAGTTCATTAATTTGGACTTCATGACGAAGTCACTTTCATTTTTACTTTAGGTATTTGTTCCTCTAACAATTACAACAACAACAAATAAATAAATAAATATACAAAAGAAATCAAAACGATTAGGAGATGATATTGCAGGTGTGACTCCAAAAAACAATCTCCTTTGCTCTTTCTCTCCCTCGTCATAGTCTGATCTGTCTGAAAATAAATCTAATTAATTGTGCTTGTTGGCTCCCATGAAAAGTCCTGATTTGGCATCTAATCTACTCCGACGGATGTTGTTACCCCTCCCACTCCCCTCTTCCATGTATCTGTTAAAGACATTAACATTGACCTCAGAAACGTCTGTACCATGAACTTCAATTGACGAATAAAATTGAGATTTTGGAGAGGAAAACGTATCTGTCAGATATCACGCTTTCTGTGCCAATTATTGATGGAATCGGGAGATACAGAGGGCAATTCACATATGATTTAACAGAGTTTGCCCAACGCAGTTGCTAGAGCAATAAGATGCATCTTATTTTGTTGTCTGCTTGCCCGGTAAAGCAACATCCGCGATATGTTGCTCACTGAAAACTAACTGGCCAATCTTTGTGTGACATGACGCTGATTTTTCAAATGTTTTCCCGATATTATCATACCAAGTTTAGCTTTCATCATTTTGGAGCCTTCTTTTAACTCAGTGCACAAGATAGAATACTGATATTGTCACCAATTATTTTTATTTCCAGCTGTGTATCAAAAGTATAATTGTCATCACTTATTTTTTTCATTTAAAACCCCCTTATTGCAATAAAGAATGAAGAAAATATTTTGTATTGATCAAAGAGAAGGAGAAACTGCAGAGTAAGCTTTCACGAATCCTTACTCTGACCTCATTCCAACAGAATTCTGAACATTATCATCCTTATATACTGTCAAAATGTTGGCATATTATTCGAAACTAAATCCTCATAAGTACATCCGAGTAATCTTTAAGAGTAAGCGACTTAAAGGGCAAGTATTGAGGTCAACAGCCAATGACCAAGTTGGCCGGAAAACCTCGCAGATTTCAAGGAGATAGTAACGCTCTTTAAAAGATAGTACAGAAAAGGTTCGCTGAAAGCGCGGGACGAGAAGTTGGCACTAATTTGTTGTTTCACCGTCTGCTGTTTCATTCATGTTCATTTGTGATTCAGACCTTCAGACCGAGACTGTGCGGTAAGGACGTGTGGGACTTGCGGGAGGTACGTGGAAATGTGATTTTCTAGATGTTTTTTCTTCTTTAATTTTAATATCGTTTCATAGTCAACGTTTGTGTATGACTTTGGTCTAACTGGAATTGTGTCTATAGTATAGCACGCAGACTACATTTCATTTCAGATTTTGCTAATTTTTTAATTTTTTTTATAACAAGACAAGATTCATTAACTCAAAATGTTTTTATAAAGTTGTTATAACCCAAAACATGTCTGGACTAATTACAACTGGAATAGTAACGACGGGAACTTTTCAGGTAGAAATGTCATGATAATAACTGACGACATTATGTGAATTAACCAAAAACACTTCGGTGTAAGCTTATACTGTATAGTAGAAACAAAAAAAATCATCCGATTATGTTTGTTGTTGTTACTGTATCTATTGGCGTTTCCTCTTGAATACTGTCTTTTCTTCTTACACGATATATGGAAAGCCCTATACTGGCTTTTCCTGTGAGATCAAATTAATTTATATCAGTTTATGTTCCCGCCATGTTCGTGCCACGTGACAGTCTCTGACCTTTAAATGATCCCATGTTCATGTATCATGACGACTTTAACATCATAGCGAGATGGTATAGTCCTTACTGTAAAAACAATCTTTTAACGTTCTTATCATAGTTTATTCGAAGATATTCCTAATTGCATTTTGATGTAGACTCAATTAACGATGTGACATCTGCTGTGTTCATTCATAGTTTTAACTGCAATATTGTCTGCTGAACATATTTTCTGCGTTTCATCATTTGCCGAGTCGAATGGGTACAATTACATCGGGGCGGTGGGGAGGAGGCTGATCATTTTGACCGAATATTGAAGGTCCCAGTTTCAATTTTTTTTTAAATTATGTTCTACATGTATGACATGTCGATTCGTCATGTTCGTAACGGACATATAGTATGCGCTATACATTATTATTATTATTATACGGTGAGCGAGCGAATCACAATGACGACGTAAATGGTCCTTCAAAACATAATATATTTTTAATTTAGAAAATGCAAGTAGACCGACTCCCCTACTGCTCGAATGTATTAACGATCGTTCGAAAGGGCAAGTACATGAAAGACTCTCTTGTATTGTTAAAGCCTTCAATATATCTGGTTCTTTGCTGAGAAATATGCCGGCAAAATTAGATAGACAAACATAGTTACCATGACCCATCGCTATTTATAAACTTTAAAACAATGTTACTGTTTCTTTATGAGAAGTCTTTATGACATTCACATGAAACCTACATGAGATTAATGACCCATTCCGCTCACACCAGCGTGACATTGACATTGAGGTTATTTGGTCGATTGACGAAGAGGATCAGTAACTGCGCAGCATGACGTCATAACAGGTATACGCTGAGCTCCGATTGTCGTGTGGCGAGCCGATTGAGATGTGATCAGCGAAAACAGCTGCCCGAATTTCACAGCGAGCCTCTATATTGAGGGAGAATGAACCCCAAATACAACCAATAAGACCAGAAAGTTCAAAATATAAGCTAGGTCGTTACAAAAGTCCTTTAACTGCCGCTCATTGTTTACCAGAGGGAAGAAGAAGAAAACAATATATTTTAATCTGCCCTTTTGATTGCGTGAAGCCCTTACATCGATATTTCCATCAAAATGATGACCCAATGGAAGGACGTCTAGCCAAAGAGATATCTCTTTGGTCTAACAAAGGTAAACGTATTGTGTTGGCAGAAAGATTCACAAGCGGTTTATATAACACGACTTCCATCGGTGTCACATAATTTAAAAATCAGTCTGTCATATACCGATTTGAGCGGGGAGAGGTCAATATATTGGGGGTGGGGGGGGGGGGGGGGGGGGCTTGGGGATTCTTGCACTCATCTTCTTCATATACCGAGCGAATTTTTCGGGGGGGGGGGGGCCTAATTTTTTTTTTTTTTTTGGGGGGGGGGGCATTCCCTCTCTATGACCGCTACTGTCTATGAAGGTAACTTTAACTATCGGCAAAGTCCATGTGATATGAGTAAATGCAGTCTTAATAAATGTAAGATAAATCAATGAATTCATGAGTTCATTCCTCAGGAAAGACTCCATGGTATATTTTTCTCGTCCATGTCGCTACAATACGATGCATCCGATTAAATCACACACAAATAGAATTATCGAGGAGTAAAATGTCCCTTGTATCATCATGCTACAAAATAATGTTCAATTCAATATTATGTAGACTCTTAATGGAGGTTCAGCGGAACCCCAAACGGTCTCCATAGCTATCTCATTGGGGTATTGGGAAAATCGGTAGGGGTGGGGTGGTCACGATGAGTTTTGATGGGGATCACACCTTGATCAAGTCGAAGATACCCCGCTTCTACTTACCTGCGGAAAGTATGCCCAAGCAGACATGAAGTCAAGAGTCATCGTTTGATTAACCTTTACTTCACCGCTGACGTGTCTTATATATCCTGCCTACTTCAGGCATGATACCAAGTCACGTGATACTCAAGCAAAATCTAACGACAGTCTTCACATGTTCTCTTCCCTTTTCTATGTCATACAGAGCAAGGGGAAGGTTGTGAGGTAGCGATCGAGAAAAGAGAGGAAGGTATTCACCCGCAACCACAGCCGTGACGATGTGCGTATCGTCGTCGTCATTTTTGCCTATGCTTGAGAAAACTGGGTTAAGTCGGGGGATTTTCCAAATACGCAGCCCTTGCTACCAGCATCCAACGATCGTGCCTCATACTGCGCTCAAAGAGGTCCCTTGACGAAGTTTTGCGATTGACAACGCAGCTGACTGGAACATAACCAAGAGAGAGCCAGCGCCAGTGAGAGCCCCACATCCTCGTTACGATGGTGATTTTGGATATCTAAACCGACATCGTCTCCAATTAATCAGAAACCTCATCTCGTTGGTTTTTCCTTTTATTTTAATTATTTGTTGACGCCTTCTTGGTCTGGAAAGGATCTTTCGTGCCCTTCCACAAGTTCATTGGAGTTGGAAATAAACGCAGACACCAAATCCGCAGACAATAATGAGTGTCGAATGAGATCACGTGGTGTGGAGTTGGATAATACTTGTTGCTACATAATTATACTTGCTGATGTTGATGTTGCGTATTTTCTTATTTATTTGTCATAATCAAAATAGAATTTAAAGATGTCCGGAGTGACGCAGGATTGTAGGAGCAAAACAGGGATTTATTTCGCCTAACGATTGAATGTAACCATCTTGAGTTGGATTCCGCGCCGCTACTCGTGCGAAAACGCACCATAGCCACATCACAATACAGAATCGGCAGTTGTTTTTAACACCGGATGAAACATTTTAAATAACGTTTTCACAATAGTCAGATAGTGATTACAGCCAAGCAATTAATATTTTTGGAAGATGATAATTCATACGCACAGCTGAATGTATATACTGCGACAAGTGAGATTACAAGAAAAGCTCAAGGGGATGCATTTCTGACGGCAGTAGATCAACATGTCGCTCAATCATCATTACCGGTACATTCTTCCTGAATATTACCCATCACTTTTCTGACCAACCGTCTGCTCTGTTTCATTTGGAGGTCATTTCGTTCATTCTTAAGTATCCACCACGGCATCGTCTCACACCGTTCACCATACCCCCACCACCGCCGTCGTCGACATCGGCTCGGTGGTCGATAGCCGCATCAAGATGTTGATTCGGACTGGACGTCGTATCATCTTTCTGATCTCCCTCACCCTCTCGGTCTTCTTCCTGCTCTTCTTCCAGACGCCACACCGTTTACCGCTCAACCAGCTGCATCAGGCTTACCGGGACTTCACCGGTACTACCGGCATCATACCCAGGTAAGACATCAATCAATTTCACAATGTTCACGATCACAATGTTTACGATAAAGTTATAACAACGTTGTCAGCGGTGTTGGGGTGGAAGTATTTACCCTTGTTTGGAAAATGTAAACATTATAATAATCATGGACATTATTCCGTCGTGGTGGAAAACTTTCAGCTGACTTTTCGGTAAATTTGGTCCAAAATCCCTCCCTCCCCCACAAAAGATGGTCTCGCAACGTCACTGTGTGCTCTAAAGCTCCAGTCCTGGGTCGAGTTGTGTCAACAGAGGCTCGAATGAAATGACCTGATAAACTTTAGAAGAGTTGTAAAAGAACCGGTGATCATAATAGCTGAACATTCTTGGTAGATGTTGAAATACGGTATAATAATTATGATGCATTCTTGAGTATAAATCATTCAGCATAGGAATCATTCATTCAAATTTGACATACTTGGAAACGATCTATTACCTTTAAAAAACAAATTATACTAAGGTCAAACTAAATGTCAGACTAATGAAAGAGAGAAACAAAAATATGAGCAGCTCACTATGTCATGTCACGCCAATTTAAGATACTAGTAATGAATGGTATATTGAAAACAAAGTAATAATAAGAATAATATGAGCCAATGTTTTTGAACAACATTTAATTCTAAGTTAAATTCCAGATATAATATGAGTACCTTTTGAAATTAAACTTGTTATATGATCATCGGTGACACGTATACCCTTCAGAATTACCGCCGGCGAGTCGTCCTAAAGTCTAATCCGTTTAAATGTCACTGAAAGTTGTCGACAAAAAAACCCTGGAAACATATTCTGTCTTTTGCTTTTGTTTTGAAGGAGATGAATCTCGAGGATTTATTTCAGTTCACTTCCCTCAAGCGGAGTGGGAGGCGCAAAGAAAAATGAAGAAAAAATATTGTCCTGAGAGAAAGGGACAAAAATAGGAGTTGCCGGCAACTTTTGATAATTAACAAAGAAAATGACCAATGGTCAATGTTAGCATTGAAGTATTTTGTTGTACTGTATTTTTTTTAAACAGTTATTGCAGGGCATGCATTTTGAGTCTGTGATGCTGATGCATGATTTGTATCTCATTCTTTAGTGTGTCTTTCTTCGCGAGATGAATTATTTACAAATTTAAAGCTCAGACTATGTAGGCCTATCATTCAAGTGGATCATTTACCTCTGAAACTTGTATTTTGGCACGAAAATCTAACACTGATGAAATTTGTCTTACGCCTAAAAAGAATTAGGTAATTCCTATTTGACGAATATAAACACTCTCCTTATGTTAGCATGAACCATTTTTTCAACATATATCATGATATAATTATCATGTCCTCCAATGTCAATCTCAGGAATGAGTCTGTAGACATATGAATATCTCCCAGGTACTACGTGCCCCATCGCTCCGTCCTCCACCCCCCCCCCCCCCTCTTCAGGAACGTGCCCCCATCGCTCTGTCCTCCATCTAAGGAGGTACAATCAAGTGCAGGATGATACTGATATTCTTTACAACTTAAAATAATTACATCACAAATCAACGATGACTGTGCTCAATGTTTACACTACTTCACCATCATGAGAACCCCAGAAGGAACTGACGATAACATGTAACATTCTTATAATCTGACTCGTGTTTCCCTCCATCCGAGTATTGCAACTTCGCGAGGATATTAGAATCTGGTCGGTATGATTTGACCTACGAATTTGTGACAAATCGTAATTTGTTTGTAATGTGATCTGTTCTATATCAGTTTTAAAGTCATTGACAATCCGGGCGTAGGTGATGACAGTCGTAATTTCCCCATGACATGATATGCATTATTTTCATTTAAAATTGACTTATTTAATTATATCAAGAATGTTTTTCACATGAGTCTGATTATTTCAATGAAATGAGATTATTGGTTCTTGCTGATGATAATGATTGTATTCCTTGATGACTGTCAGCTAAAATTTCTTCATGTTTTGCGTGGCGAAGAGGAACACATTCGTACTTGGTATTATTTGATACAAAACAGGTTTCCCAAAAGGGCATATCCTTTTCCTGCCACCTGACTATGTTTATAATTATGTAACTATATGATAATAATTCTTATCATCTCCATATGACAGAAGTTCCCCCTCCCATGTTTAATAACAGGAGTTACAAAGTTCTATAACATTTTCCAACACATTCGTGGATCAAATTATCATCATCCTAAACCTTGATTTGATTATAATGCCAAACTCTAATTAACTTGATAGATTCTTAGACATTCAAGATAGAAGGAAAGAAGAGGCAGTGCGAAAAGACAAATGAAACATGAGCAACATTTTAGTCGTCTCCCATCTTTCTTCAGACACTCGGTCTTAGGTCCATAGTTCTATTAACAGACGACTTTGACAGGTCCTACCTACGAGACAAATAAAATCTTCGAGACGAAAAGTATGAAACGTGGGAACAACTGTCGCTAGATGTACAATATCGCAAGAGGTTGACGTCTCTCGGCTCAATGTCAACATTCAAGTTTTTAACTTATCTTATCAGTGACAAGACATTGTAATATGACAATGTAATTTTATCATCAAAACAAAATAGATAAGAATCACTCAATATTTACAAGTGATCAGATTTCTTTGATTTTTAGTTCACAAATAACTTGAAAATCCCAGGCTGTCCATTATTTCATTTTCCTAAAATGATATGAACTGGTATAAATATTCATGAATTTGTGTTCATTCGTATTTGCAACTAATGGATGTTTTCAAGTGAATGGCTCTTAGAAAATATAGCAACTTCCAAAGAGCTAACATGATCATACTTTATTTCCTCACTATTTTACTCTTTGGTACGTATTGGCATGGTCTAGATGACAACACCTATTGAATGAATCCATTGGGGTTCACCTCACGCTGTCTCTCCCAAATCCCAGGTTCAAGGGGTCCATTATACCACCATGATGACGCAGTATCCCTGTCCATGCACGGAAGAGAGAGTGGCAGAGGCAGCGTTGGTACCTCTATTGGGGGTTCTTAAATTTTATTTTATGAACTGATGTGCGATGCAGAAAGAGACAGAGAGACAGAGAGAGGGACAGACAGACAGACAGAAAGACAGACAGACAGACAGAGACAGAGAGACACACACACACACACAGATGTAAAAGTCACTACACATGACAGAGATTAGACGAGTAAATTATGTTAAATTACAACGACAAGGAACGACAAGAAAGGGTAAGGAAAAGAAGGAGAAGAAGAAGAAGAAACACATACACGTAAAAGAAATGACATTATTCGTTGGGTCCTTCTAGGTATTGGAGAGTTACCCCTATCACCCCTATCGTGTCAGCGAGAGAGAGAGAACTTTATATATTACTTCGGTCACCATCTTTGACCTCTAACAAACTTATCATTATGACCTTGGAATCCATGCATGTATATGGCCATGTAATTCTTCAAGGTCAAGTTGTAGTCCAGGAATAGCTTAAGAAATCGCCTGAACCAGACTATAACCTGTATTCTGTGTAACCCAGAAATTCATCTTCATGAAATAACGATCGATGCGTGATCCTGTGTCAGACTTTACATGATATATTTCCCTCACATACTGAGTACTGTTAAAATTTCAAGACGGCTTGCAAACTTTACTGAGGAAGGATGCTTATAAATGGCTGATGCAAAATTGGATTCCTCTTATGAACCTTACTTATGTATATTTCATGAAAGTTGAGAGCAATTGAGCAAAAGATGAAAACGTTTGCATTATTTAAGCTATCCGCTGCATGCCCTCGATCAATCAACCTTATTTTTTATATAGTGGAAATCGGATGTTTGAAATCTGCAATTTAAAAAAAGGGAGGGCAAGGAGAGAATGAGAGTTAAATTTAGATTTTTGCCATTTAATTCATTTCAAGCTGGGACCTTGCCAGCTAAAGTTTTATCCAAACCCACACTCGGTAAAACATTTGCTTATCCTGTTTCACCTATATATCTCGCATAACTGCCAAGTATTATGGTAAGGAGGGAGAGAGAGAGAGAGGGGGAGGGAGGGAATGGGGGAGAGAGAGGGGAAGGGAGAGAGCATCTTTCAGCAACAGTTTGAAATATAGAGACCTCACCAAAAAAAAAGGGGACGAAACATAAAGAAAATACTTTTGACGTTCGGTTCACCATGTCGAAGAGTATGTCATGTTAATGCTGTTCCTTATTTTTTTTCTCGTGTTCACGGTTCTAAAATAAGTTCCAAGTTGTTCATGATAGCTTGACAATATTAACCCAGTTCCTCCGCTGCCTGCGTAAACACGCCAAATTTTGTCGTTCAATAGCATCACATTACATCATTGTAAAAATCAATCTGACCTTTGACTCGGGTGGGAGGTGATGAAAAATCCAGAAACGGTGAATTTATCTTGATAATTTATCTATTTTATGGAAATGTTTTTTTACGATTATTCATATCATTAATGATGCTAAGAACGCAGTAGAAAATAAAAAAATGAAAAACAATAATGATTTGTGTTTACTGAATATCTCTCATCTAGTTTTTCACTATCAATCTTAATCAGTGTCATTTTAAAGTTAAAAAGTTCTTAAGAAGCCAGGTATAGCTTAAAGTTTTCTGCATGCGTTATAATGAGATAAAATTAATGTTATATCGACAATGATACTTTGACATTTCCATTTAACTACTTTATCATTGTATCCCTGGGATGTTTTCCGGTTTATATTGATACCATCATAACTGAAAAGTACTGGCGGTTGGGGACATCATGCATCACTTACACAGTTCATTATTGCAGCAAGCCACTCAAAAACATAGAAAGTGCAACCAAAGGTGACCACCTGCAGCTGCACTAACTAAATGCTCAAACAAACAAATGAATATTCAAGTTTTTATTTTCAAGTTTTATTAGTTCCAAAAAAAAAAAAAATATAGACATGCATATAAAATTAAAAAATAGTACAATACATGTCTCAATGATTCTCAAGTCATTTAAACAATTAAGTAGAAAAAAGA